AGAAAGTACATATGATGAATGCCCTTAAAAAGAGTACCTATAAAAAAATTAAATAAGGACCTGAGAAGGAATATACCTTGTACATTTTAGGCTGTGTGAACGAGGGCTCATCAATCTCATTGTGACCAAAACGACGGTAACAGACTACGTCAACCACCACATCTGAATGGAACGTTTGTCGCCAGTCTGCTGCAAGTTCACAAACATGAGCTACAGCTTCCATATCATCTCCATTCACATGGAAAATTGGAGCATTTAAGGCTTTAGCAACATCTGTACAATACTGTGAGGACCTTCCAGCCCGTGGATCAGTAGTGAAAGCAACTTGATTGTTAACCACTATATGAATTGTTCCGCCAGTTGTATAGTTGGGAAGAGCACTCAGATGTAGAGTCTCATAGACCACACCCTGCCCTGCAAAACTTCCATCTCCGTGAATCAATACTCCCAAATTCTTCACTCTCTCTGCATCGTTTGAGTAATACTGCTTCGCTCGAGTTTTTCCAACCACAACCGGATCCACAGCCTCCAAATGACTCGGATTCGCAACTAAAGACAGGTGAATCCTCTTCCCACCTCGGGTAGGCCTATCATAAGAAGTACCCAAATGGTACTTCACATCACCAGTCCCTGTATACAAACCGACCTCATCCACAGGCTTTGTCCCTCCACTGAACTCACTAAATATCTGCCTCAATGGCTTCCTAACAACATTGCCCAACACATTGAGCCTTCCTCTGTGAGACATCCCAATGACAATGCTCTCCACTCCAAGATCAGCAGCTCTATCAAACATCTCCTTCATACCAGGAATCAACGTTTCCGCACCCTCAAGGCCGAATCTTTTTGCCGCAGTCCACTTTGTGGCCAAAAAGTTCTCAAATTGAGTGCTCCAAATTAGCCTATCGAGAATAACCAACTGACGGTCCGGACTATAAGACCTAGGCTTCACCGTCTCAATCTTATCCCTCAACCAATTACACTTCTCTCTATCAGGGATATGCATATACTCATACCCAATGGTCCCACAATAAGCCCTTTCAAGCCTGCTCAAAATCTCCCTCAGTGTTTGGACAGGTCGGTTCTCAGACAAGAAACCCGCCATTCTCCAGACCCCAAGAAAGAACTCTCTATCCAAATCAGCTTCAGAAAACCCGTAGAGAGCCAGATCTAAATCCTCCGGAATTTCCCTCTGTTCCAAACCTAAAGGATCCAACTTAGCCTTCATATGACCATTCACTTGATAAGCCCTAACCAAAAGAAGCAACCTCATGCTCTCTTGGATAGTCTGACCGGAAATCCCCGGCGAGGTGGAGGCTTGACCGACAAAATTCCTAAAAAAATTATCCCAAGATTCATCCACTGAATTGGGATCAGCCTCCCACGCTCTCTGTAGCTCCTCAAGATAAACACTGCTCGTGCCATCCAGAAAGCTATCAGTGAGTCGAGACAAAGGTACGGCTCGAGGAACCGGAGCGCCCGATTCCGCTGCCTTTTGTCTCAGAGCAGAGGATTGAAAAGATCTAGTTAGGGTTCGAGGTCTAGTGACGTGGTGATGAGATTGAGCTAGGTTTCGCCTAATCGCTAGTCTAGCTACGCTAGATGCTGCCCTAAACCAGGCCATTCTTAGATCTTAACGAAATTCGAAACCCTAAAAATAATTTCGATCGAAAGAAGACAGATTCCCTGCAAGAGGATGAATAGATCAGAAGAGGTCGAATAATTCCTTAAATTTAGCTAAAATTAGAGAGTTTCAAAGATTGTACCTTTGAGAGGTCGGGGATTGGGCGAAACCCTAGTCCTAATTTTTAGCTCCTCGAGGGTTTTTGAGGTCGCGTTCCCATTTGATCGGAATTTTGGAAGAAGAGCCCCTCGGCCTCTGACTTGTTCTCGAAGATTTTAGTTTTGTTTATTGCGCTGCCTTTTGAAGGAGAAGAGACGCGTGTCCGTTTGTTCTTTTGGGTGAGAGGGGGTGTACGTGGTTGGATAAAAGAGGAGTGCATTTATCACTTGCACTTTTATTCAAAACTTCCGGAGAAAGTGCATTCGATTAAGGGGCTGTTTGGTTGGTTTCCTAAAAACCAAGAATAGAAAATGGGAGCATAAAAATCTCTCATTTTTTATTTTTAACCATTTCTATCTCTAAAACTTACCCCAACATTTAATAAAATATTATTTTATCATCCAACTCATCTAATAAAATATTATTTTATCATCCAACCCATCTAATAAAATATTACTTTTATCATCCAATATCTAATAAAATATTATTTTTATCATCATATCATCTAACTCATCTCATCTCATCCTATCTCATATTTAAAAATCAATCACATCATCCAATAATATGGTGACAACTCATCTCATCTTCTTAACTTTCATCTCCATCCATTTCCTAAAAAAAATAAGAAAATTGATTTCTTTAAGTGTGAGTCACATCATCCAATAATATAATGGCAACTCATCTCATCTCATCTCATCTCTTATTTTTAAGAATGAACCAAACACAAAAAAGAACCTATTATAGGAAATATGTTTCTTATAATACATTTCCTTATTTTTTTAGCCAACCAAACAACACCTATTATAGGAAATATGTTTCTTATAATACATTTCCTTATTTTTTTAGCCAACCAAACAACCTCAAAACAAGTTTTCTTAAAAAAATTTTTTTAGCCAACCAAACAACCTCAAAACAAGTTTTCTTAAAAAATCACTCACATCATCCAATAATATAACGACAACTCATCTCATCTCATCTCCTATTCTTTAATTTCCTTCTTTTTTTTCCAACCAAACAACCTCTAATACTTTGAGGGGCTGTTTGCTTAATTTTCTAGAAAACTAAGTTTAAGAAATTAGTTATGGGAAACAGGTTGTGAGGTCTATTTTCATATTTTCAAATTCATTTCATTACTTTTTAGGAGGAAATGAGTTTTCTTAAATTTAGGACTCATTGCACTATTATCTTAGTAGTGGGTGGTGGGTCTTACGTGCACAACATCTTTTTTTTTCTTCTCTCAACCAAACATAAGAAAAGAAAATCAAACACCTTCACATGGGTGTGTTGAGTGTTTTGATTTCCTTTTCTTAGTTTTTCAGCCAACCAAACAGCCCTTGATTTGATAAGATTTAGAATTATAGTTGATATTATATATTATAGAGTACATGTAGGTGCGTTTCTTTGGGGTTGTTTGGTTCACTGAAAATTCTGTAATTTGGAGTGAAAAATCAATTCTATGAATAAAAGGCAATACTTTTGGCATAATAGGATTTCATATATTATGTTTGTTTGAAATTTTTTAAGAAAATGTTTCTAGAAAATGCAAAAAATAACTTATATTTAGGATTTGTCAAATCCTAATATTTGGGAAGGATTTGTGTGGAAAGCTTGCACATTAATATCACCTCAGCATTCCCTCCCCCTCTCTTTCTATCTCTCTATTTTTCTAGTTTTTTTCTATTTTTTGGAATTTGAACTAAACATGAGATTACAAATTCTAAGATTTGCTTTCCTATTATCATGTTGAACTAAACAAAAAATTAGCAATTCCAAGACACCAATTAAAAGGCAATAGATTTGATTTCTTTGATGGGATTTCCATTTCCTTTATTTTTAGGAAATGAACAATTTACCTCTTATTGTAATTGTAGTAATACATTATTCTGATTATATTAGATATAGTGTTCTAACTATATTGGATTTTCTAACTATACCGATAAACCGATACAATATGATGGTTGATGCTAAGCAAGTATCATGTATTTTCTTCCTAAATGATTTTCTATAATAATTTTTCTGAGACATTTTTACTCTGATCTAAAATTTGAGTATCCTTAGTTCAATTTTCATTTAGAATTATCCTACACCCGTTGCGTTTATTTAGCAAAGAATCTGGATTAGAGAGTTTTTTTTAAACTAATAATACGTGGCGTCTAAAATATAATGAACTTGCTAGTAACGCTTCCAAACCAAATTTCCCGTTGCTTTTTTACATGTCAAAACAAAGAAAGTGGAGGTAAGCTCCCCCCACCCCTCAAAAAAAAAAAAAAAAAAAAACCCCCCCCCCCCCAAAAAAAAAAAAAAAAAAACAACCGCGATGTAAGTGAGTTGTTGATAATAAAAAGTTTAAGTATGTTTCAAACATAAATACCAATGCATTTTCCTTAAAAAATATATATATATATATAACAATGTGCTTTGAATATTCCTGTACACCTTCAAATTCAGTTCAAACTTTATGAATGAGAATTGATAATATGAATCTAAGACCAACCCCTTCATTCACACGAGCTGTGGTTCTTCGAGAATACATATCTACGTGTGAAGATCACAAGAAAAAAGAGAATCAGAGGAGCTAAATTACAATCCCAAGTCAAATTATGTCGTCTAAAACTTTAGATTATCGTCATTTCACTGTTTCATCAATAACAAGCAAATAGTGTCATCTAGGTAGCATATATTTGGGATGATGTGCAAAGGTTCGAATACTGGTCACATATGATATTTATTATATTCGTATCTACTTGCAAATCATGGAAATGCATACGGATATGGATATGTCTAGATAAGAAAACCTCATATTCATATCCTTTAAAATTAGATACAGATACAAATATACATATGGATATACATGCAGAAATAAATGCAGACACAAAATGGATATGAGATAATCAAATAGTATTGAAAAAACATATGGCTCACATTATACAAGAGAGTTCTTTGATATGCTCATTATATATGAAAAGCTAAAATAAGATATCTTGATTACCAAAATTGACCCCAAATCTATTAATCTAAGTATTAAACAAATTGCAAAACATATATTTGGATACTTCGGATACGAATACAAATATTTCATTATATATCTATCTTCTCAACTATATCCTATCGGATATAGATATTTAATTATCATATTCATATCCTAACGGATAGTAACACAAATATATCTCCATACATAGATATTTCTTTACACTCTTATGTGTGCGGTTGTGCCCTTTTCGTTAATCATAATTGTTGATTATAGCAATTATTTAAGCTTTTTTTATGAAAACCACCTTTAAAATAGAGTTGTAATACAGGAACCACCTTGGTTGTTTAATTTATACAAGAACCATTTTAAAAGTCAGTTTTCATTTCAATCAACCACCAAACCGCAATTTATGTTGACTTATTTATTAAAGTTCCCTTGATACTCTTAACTGGCTAACGTAGGACTCTTGAGGATGCTTGAGAACTCTCTTCTTTTAAATCGTTTAAAATAAACACAAGAATAAGCTTTACACATGTAGCTCTCTTCTTTTACAAAGAAAACAAAATTGTGCTCCCTAGTAACACACACAAAAACTCCTACGTAGTCGTCCCTGCTTCCGTGGATTCTTTGCCTGTGCCGGGGATGCGTTATCCGTGGATCACCGAGCAATATTTCCAAATCGAATACGAAGAAGGTTTGAAGTAAATGTTTCGACGGGAAAATAATAATAGAAGTAGTGTCTTAGCGAGGTAAGACAAATACTCTTCTCAAGATTAAATCTAAGTCAGAACTCAAGGAAACACCAAAGGACTCTTGAGGATGCTTGAGAACTCTCTTCTTTTAAATCGTTTAAAATAAACACAAGAATAAGCTTTACACATGTAGCTCTCTTCTTTTACAAAGAAAACAAAATTGTGCTCCCTAGTAACACACACAAAAACTCCTACGTAGTCGTCTCTGCTTCCGTGGATTCTTTGCCTGTGCCGGGGATGCGTTATCCGTGGATCACCGAGCAATATTTCCAAATCGAATACGAAGAAGGTTTGAAGTTAATGTTTCGACGGAGTGTCTTAGCGAGGTAAGACAAATACTCTTCTCAAGATTAAATCTAAGTCAGAACTCAAGGAAACACCAAAGGACTCTTGAGAATGCTTGATAACTCTCTCTTGCTCTCAAAGTTTGTCAAATGTCAGTCTCTCTCTGCTTGATCATGCCTTTGTACCTTACACAAGTGTGTAGGTGGGTATTTATAAGGGTAGGAAACCATAACCATCAAGTTGGAATCAAAACACTTGGTGGTCACTGATAATCACATTTTATTATAATTTTATACCCTTATTATTTATTTTTAATGAATAAATATACCACTAATAATTGTTTTTTATCTTTAATTGCAGGTTAGTGAAGAATAAAGCCCAAGATCTCTTATCTCAACAAAAACCCATGAATTAAATGAAGAACACAAGCAAGAGTCAAAAATCCCAAGCCCAGAATCAAGCCGAGTAGCCTGTAGAAGCCGGAGAAAATAAAAAAGAGGAGGGCTACTCTTAATTGAGAAGGCCTTCCAAAATTGTAACTTTAGTTGCAATTAATAATAATAATTTTTTCACCACTTTAAATATTTCTTCTCTTTGTTGGATGATGAAGATGGAGATGAAGAATTATTTAGAGGTTTGCATTTTCTTTCCTTTTTCTCTTTTATTTCCTTTTTATTGCTTATTAGTGTAGATTTATTTCTATGCTTGTAGTTTAGATTTTATTTTCTTGTTAAATAGCCAAGAGGCTAGAACCCTCTTGCCTTAGATTTATTTCATGCTTATAGAATAGATTTAATTTCTTGCATTTAATTCTTGCAATTTTATTTTGTAGTTTAGATTTTGCAATTTATTTTGTAGTTAGATTTTAATTTCTTATACTATTCACCTTGAGGCTAGAACCCTCTTGGGTTTAGTTTTTCTTTTTGTTTATTTTTATTTTGTTTGATTCGCCTTTAGGCTAGAACCCTCTAGGGAATCACCCTTTTCTAAGAAGTGGGTTCAATTGTAGATTACCCATATCTATAATTGAATCCACCATCTTTAATTTCTTGCATTTTCTTTTATTCTTGAATTTTATTTTCTTTATTCTTGATTTTTATTTTCCTTTTCCTTCTTGCCTTATTGATCATATTCA